TTTTTTTTTTTTTTTTTGGGGACATTACATGCATGCTCTCCTCTTACTATAATTTTTAATTTGGAGAAGGGCGGGGGTAAAGTAGATGATATTTTTTTCCGTATCTGCTCAACATGCCAAGTATTGGAAATATTATTTGGTTGATTCCAAGAAAAAAGCCTGTTAACATATAAATGTTATCTATTGCATCATGATTGGCTAAATTAATTGTAAAGTTTGTTGGAGCCTGCTAGTTAAGTACATACAAATCGGACCCAAGGAAATCAACCTGGGACATTTGCATATGATGTAAAACGTGTTGAATCAGATGCATTGGTTTCAATTTAAGGCAGTAGTTTTTGTACTTTCTACCCTTGACAATGGACATTTCCTGGGACTATCAATAACAAGGCACTAAATGCTGTCTAATAGAGTTTGATCACATCTTCCTATTTAGCAAGCTCAGTGTAACACCCCAAATTTTCATAAACCTTAGAGTATTACTAAAAACTTATTTCTCTTTACGTTGAATGCGGAACGATAAATAATATAACTGGAATATTCATAAATTTAAACTAAATATGAAAATTGTATCTTTAAGAAAATAACATAATCACTTATCTAATTAAATAACATGTCTTTGAACGAATTAAACTAACTAATAAATTGAAGAAATAAGTTTTTATTTGATCCCCTTGGTAGCTCGCATCACCATCCTGCTACAAATCCAATCGAACCGAACTAACCTGTAAAATTTTTGTAAGAGTAGGTATTTAAAAATACCCAATAAGATACATACAATTTCCGTACATTATTATATAACAATAAAATGAACACTCATACCACTTTTCTCTTGTGGAGTATATCGGTGACCAAGCGACACACCCATTTTAGGTCATCTTAAATTCTCGAAAGATTTCATATCTCTTTATAAAGAACCCGAAGGTCCACTAGTAATTCATGCATAAATTACTTAATATAAGAGCATAAGAAAGCAAACCACTTGTATAAAAGTATCTTACCTTGATGTATTTGAAAAGTAAATAAATTTCTTGCTCGTGAAAACTCATTTTTCTTCCCTATATACCTTCTCTCTACCTCTCGGTCGTGTGTATAATTTTTCTATGGTAATTAATTTGACATTCTTGCAATATTTATAACAACCAATAGGGTATTCACAATTTAAGTTTTGGTGCAGTCAGAATTGAGGCCGTGTATCACAAGAAGAATTGAGTAGGGAATAGGTTTCACTTTATAGGTTATGATAGTATCATGATTATGCTTACTAACCAATCCTACTATAACACGTGGAAGCATGGAATTTGGTTTTACATTCATAGAATTTGCCTTATACTAAATAAAAGATTTCATAGTCAATTTGTAAGGCAATCACGTGTAAATAGGGATGAGAATGACTACACATATCAATCCTACTCCAAAAGTAAATAATTCCATAGTACTTGACAATGTTGAGTTTTATCTATTTACCAATTAAATAAAAAGAAAAAAATTTGATTTTATCTATCAAAGGAAACATGTGGTTGTCTCGCATCCAAAATCCAATTTAAATAAAATTCTAATAAATGGCAATTTCTTTAAACGTCAATATCTTAGGCTTAACTTATCCAAATTTACTTTTTCTCGAGTCCATGGTGTGTCATTTAATACGAACTACCCAATGAGCTCAATATCGATATACTAAAACTCATTCTATTACAATCCAATTATTTGACCCAAATAAAATTGAAATTAATACTATTTCACTTTAGACCCTCAACATTTCAATACTATCAAAATATGCTTATGTCAAAATCCTTACCACTAAATAATTCTTTGCTTTAAAATTTTGGGATGTTGCACTCAGCTTTCAATAATTTGTTGATATGTTTGATGGAAATTTTGCTAATTGCTCTGTATATATAACATGCAAGTCATCAACTAACAACGACACTGTCTGTGCATAATTATTTGGGGCATTTGCAAGTTCTAATTACTTGAGCTGGTCATAAATGAGTTGCCTAATAAGAATGGCATTGTCATGAAATACCACAACGGTGTGCCCCCAAAATTGATATGGCAATATTTCATCTTGCATTCCTTTTCTTACCCTTTTGCTATCTGTACTGTGACGAAAACATTAGTATAGCTTACACTTCAGTGGTTGATTCAAAATACTCCTTGACTGCATGTTCTTTCTGAATTAAAAGCCTAACTTTCGGCTATGATTTCATCTACGTTTCCATATAATTTCACTGTTTGTGCACTGATACCTATTTATTTATAACGAAGCAGTTTGTTGACCTTTGTGGAACTGTACATGATGTATGAAAGGCTTGGAACCGTCATGATCAATTTTTCCCAAGTTTATGAGGATAAGAGCCCTGTGCAAGAAGCCCATATCAGGCAAACGTTTATTAAATGAAGCTGCAGACCAAAGTCAGAGCATTAGTTTAACTGGTCTTGGGCTTGATCGGGCACCCGAAACCCTGAGTTCTACTCATCTAATTGTTGGAATTTTGTGTTGGAAATTGGTTGTGACCAATTGAAATGATTTAAGTGGAAATTCCTTGTTTGGTGAATGAGAAATTAAGCCAAACTTAAACCACTTAATATTTGAAATTATTGGAATTGTGTAGAATATTGTGGAATATTCTAGAGAATGTAGATGAAAAGATGTGTCTTTTCATATGGATCATGTCTCTTAAAGAGCATGACTTTTGGTATGAGTAACTTCCAATAATTATGATTATTCAAGAGATGTGTCTCTTGATATGGATGTTCCAACTACTATATATATGGATTCCCTATGTGTTTGAATTCACAACAACTACACTACAACTACACAACAAATAATTTATTTGATAGTTTCATTCCATGGTTACTTTAGTTTTGCATAAAACACTTTGTAGAAGTGATTTTTCTTGCATCAAAATCATGGTTATGGTAGAGAGGGAATTCCGTTCGAGTTCGTGGGTCTAAGTCATTTGGAGTGCTCCTATGGCTAGACGTGGTCGTTGTATCTTGGGAGATGATTGTCGAGAAACCGTTAGCACCGATGCGGGGCAAATTCATCTTAAGGACAAAGTGTCAAACACTTGCCTCGACCGATCGCATCACTTGCATCTCATCTTTCTTTTCCGATTTCATTCCAATTTAGTATTTTGATTTCGGAAAGTAACTAATATTCTTTTGATTTCATGCAAGGTTTGAAATAAAGTATGAAACAGATTGAATCCGTCGACACGTGTTCAACTTCGATAATTGTTGATTGTCTTCTCAAATTCCATATTGGTAAGTCGAATTCTATTTCGATTTCGTGAGTATGAAACAGTATGTATTGATTTGAATACAATATGCACATTATCGGTGTAATATCTCCTACACTAATTAAACTTTCAGAGCAAGAACAGGCACCCGTACTCGCAGTTAATAAGGATATCCAGCCCAATCCCATTTTTGAAGATAATACAAAGGAAAACTGGAGAGACCATGCCCCGAAGTTGCAGTTGTATATAAGGAATATGCATCTCGTGACAATGACTTATCTCATAATTCAATACATCATTCTGGAGATCATGTTTCAGGATCAGTTGAATCAACTCTTGATTTGACATGTCGGTCTAGAGAAGAGAAACGGGAATTAATGGTCACTACTGAATTGATCCGACCACGTCAATTAACTCATGAGGTTAGAAAGTCATTGGTACCAACTGGTTCTTTAAAAGCCTCCGATACTCTGGTTCAATTAATTTTCATTCGGAGCCGGACCCGAACCTTGAGCTCCAAAAGCATAAGCAGCCAGTTTCTTTGGATAACGTTTCTTCAAATTCTCAGGCAAAGGAATCTCAGGAGTTGACACCCATGTCTTGTAAAGAGTATGAGGCTGAAAAGGCACGTCTGCCTCTAGTAGGAGCCCTCCACCGAATTTCTCTAATGTTAAGTATAATTCTTTTGCCAGCCCAAAGAGCATTCAGACTCTTGGTTCAGAACTTTTGAATGAATCTGATAGATCAGAAAATCATCAAAATCATACACTAGCACAAGTACACCCAAATCCAGAAGTGTCTTCTAGAACTGATGAAAAGATTCTCATCCAATAAACACACAGTGACAGCTGCAAGACAATCACCGTTATCATCCCCCACCTGTTTCTTATCCTCAACAATACAAAGTAATTTGCGAAGTAGTCGGCAGACTGGGCAAACACCATGCTTGTGAAAGACAGATATTATCCATTGTAGAGGATACACGTTTATGAAGTTTAGAAGACGGGTAAGTCTATTTTCATGGTAGATCTTCTATGAGCTTGAGATGTAAAATTTTAAAGCTATATTTCTGGACTATATGATACATTCTTTCATAAATGGAGAATGGAATATGTCATGCCATGTACTACTTTTATATCATCTTTGATAGACTATTATACTCTGACATTAGTATGTTATAAATTCTGAGATGTATGCAATCAGGCAATGATATGTAATGTTTGTATATAAATAAGGACTGTTTAAGTTAGAGAATTGGACATGAACTTAAAATCTTCTCAGTTGCACTGAACATCTGCATTTTAATAACCTACAGGTAGCACAGCTTCAAATGATTTTGGTAGAAAAGGCAGCAATTAATTAGAGCATTTCTATATATCCCTCTCCCAACTGTTAGATGTATTTGTGACATCAGGAAGTGCTTAATTTGAAGAGTCTCAATAACTGTCATAACACCGTGAGCATGTTTGGTTAAGCCTATGAAAAAAATAAGCTTACTTTTCTTAAAGAAAGGACTCACTTGAAAAGAAGCAAGTTTTGGTGCAAGTTTTGTTGAAAAGAAAGTAATTTAAAATAGTAGAAAATTGTTTTTCAAAAAAATGTAACTTTTAGGCTGGGATATATGTTTTGGTAAGGTTAAGACTTAAAAGTTACTTTTTAAGCAACTTCATTTTTTAAGGCTTCGCCAAACACGCTATATATTTGTGAGGGTCTCTTTTATTTGATATAGGCCTATATTTTGGATCATGATATTTCAAGGTTATTCTGTCAGACTTTCCTATTTCTCCACATAGCCTTTTAAATTGTTGCAAGAAACCTTCGATTCATTCTTTAAGCTCTATATTGGTAAATTATCTAAATGAAGCTTTCTAGTATATAATATGTTCTCCTGTTTCCAGCAGCACAATTGAGCTCAAGATGGAAGAATTTTTTTTGGGAAATATTATTGATACTATTGCTAGTCAATTTATGATTTTGTTGAAGGAAAAGAATTGACAACATCTCCACGACATCCCTGATCAAATCAAACTCTCTGTTTATGTGGGGATCGAATTAAGCTGCAGTTGGCGTTGTCAGATTTCTTGCTTAGCATAGTGCATTATGTACCTTCTCCAGATGGTTGGGTGGAAATTAAAGTCTCTCCTGGGATAAATATTACACAAGACAGGAATGAGTTTATAAACCTTAATATTTTGTTTACTGGATGTTTTCTTTCTTCTCGCTTAAGGCTCTTTATTTGCCCGGGATATCCTTTTACTTTGAATACATGTATATATTAGAACTATAATTATCAATATTGAATGAAAAAATCCAACATATAATGTCCTGATTGGCAAAATAAACCTCAAATTTTGTCAAAGATTTGTGTATGTACTTGTTACATTGTGAAGTCACTATCTGAAAATACTTCTTATTGATTTCTACTGCATTTTACTCTTTTCTCTCTTTTCCATTTCTGTAGAATGGCTCACCCCAGTAAGGGCATCCCTCGTACTCTTATTGACATGCACAGAGCGAAGATTCAATGGACAACACATGAAGGGATTGCTTTAAACCTTTCTCAGAAACTTCTCAATTCAATGAATGCTAATGTTCGTTATATCAGAGACCAGAATAATCATGTGTTTCGCTAGGCAAATTTGGCGACGGATTTTCTAGCAGAGGCTTCTTGTGGACAGTGTGGAATACTTGTGTGTTACCCAAGTACCAGTACCCCTTCGTGGTATTTTACGGACAGACCGTTTGGAACTACCTCATTTTAGAAGTTGAGTTTTCCTTTTCTTCTTCATGTGTGTTTTGGGTAGTAACCAAGGTATTCATCCGCCGCAAGTGAGGTTATTTCTGAATAAGAACTAGTTTGTTTTAAAAAAAAGAATGCTACTTCCTCATTGATCTTGATTTCAAGTCACAGAAATCAAGATTCCTGGTTCAACCTTGAATTCAAGCAGTTGATGCGATCTTATATCATTGTTCGAGTGATTGTTTCTTGAAGCTTTTGTGTGCTTATTTCTGGTTATGAAGCCAATCGTGCTAATCTTTCCCTTTTTTGATAATAAATTAGCATTGCTTGTGTGATGCTATACACCTAATTGCTAAGAGTTGCAAGTGATTATGTATATAACATTGTTTCCTTACGAGTATACATATGATGAAGAAAAAGGATTATGATTAGTGTATATTTGTTGGTAAATCGAATCAAACAAGGTCATGCCTACTTTTGATTGTTCATCATGGTTACAGTACAGGGTGCATGATCCACTTCAAAAATTTACAAATTGAGTATAGAAATTACCAATATAAGTTATCTTTCATCAATATAATAACAATAATTATATTAATGCTACAACGTTGAAGCCATAGCATAATATATTTCAAAGGTGAACTGTCCGTCAAAACTATTTCAGAAAAACAACTGAAAAAACCCATTTTACAACAATTTTTTTACGCTATAAGTGGGCTAGTTCAGCCAAAATGACCACACTTGAGAATATCTATGCCTAAATCCTGGATCAAACGCTGAAGACAAACCATATCTATACCTCAACATGTCATAGACAGATGCAAAATAGTTTTGCAGAATCCCAACTTACACATTTGTCCATTATTATTGAGAAATTTATCTTTACATTCATAAACAGTCCTCTAACTGATAAAAAGGATTCTACCTTCAAAACTAATATACCCATCTCACTTTACCAACTAAATTCAAGATTAAAATTCAGTCTGCAAATATATCAGAAACCTACAAAATGCATTGCACCTATCTTCACCTGCATGCTTCTTGCCCACTGTGATCATCCAGCACCTTTTTAGATCATACTTTTTTCCTCCTTCTCATCAAAATGTCAAAAACATAGTGCAAAAATCTGTACTGCTATCTTATCTAAGGGTCTCGGTCTATTTTGTATACACATTTCGTCCTATTCTGCTTCTGAATCTTTTGCTATTGCTTCTCCACATCATCACCCAAGAAACCCTTCCTAGTGCTTCCAGGAATATTTGTGGGATCCATTTCCCTCGACTGACTGACTTGCATGTTCAAATTACTGGAAGAAATATGTCCCGCTGCAGCAATGCCAACACTTATGTTAAAATGTGCTACTTTAGCTCATTGTTATGAAACGGGAAAATCAAATCTAATTACAAAATACCTAAAACATAAGAAAGGAGAAAATCAACAAAAAAAAAAAAATTTGGTGAATAAAATGTGTGAAATAATATGTAGCAGTTTCAATTGTATTTGTCCTCATCTTCCCGTATACATTAAAGTTACCTTGATTGCCACCAGATTCAGAATTCTCCAAATGAAAGAGAATGGGCCTGCAACGCTTATCTTCATTCATCAAACTAGAATTTTGGAAGTGAGCAATGAGGGCTGCTGTTCCCTGGATTCGAGCATACGCTAAACAAGCAACTTTCTCGCTGTTGAACTTCTCCCATTTCTTCCCGTTAAATGCCTGCATTTTAGCAAAAAAAAAAATGTATAATGGTGTCTGATAATATTTAATGCATATTTTCAAAACAATACCAATAAATAATAACTATTCCGGTAAAAAAAACCTCATAAAATGAGATAATATGTGATGGAGACAACATGTTGATGAATGCATAGCCAACATTGCATTTGTTCTACATCCACATTAAGAAATTTGTCAGATTCAGCAGCTCAATAATTCGCAAGAATTTGTATTAAGTACAGCAATCAGTTTACCTTAAAATCAATGGGCAAATAGAGAAAATCATAAGTACCCTTGTGATGCTCATCAATAGTAGCTAGTAACATCTTGGCAGTATATCTACAGAAAGATGTCAAGTAAAAATTGTACTTGATATTCTATTTGAAACCAAAAAAATGCACATTCATAATTAACTAGTATTTGAAGGTTCTTACTTGTTCGGGATATTTTTTATCATTAGAGTCGTTCGAGTATCTTCGCCACTTCTAATCTTATCCAAGTCAAGCTGAAATTGTCTCCTGTTATCCATTTGGCTCCCGTTGTTCTCGACATGATGAGGCCTCCCACGTTCAGCTGGACCCTCCAAGTCTAAGGCTGCCAATCCAGGAAAATGACTGTCATCCAGGAACATAGGACTAAGTCTAGGAGAAGACATCATGCTAAAACCTGAAGAACCATTTTCCAACATGTTCCTGGAAACAGAACCAAAATTCATAGCACCGCAAGCGTCCATATTTATCATGAAATTCTGATCATTACCAGCCATAAATGACGCCTCCAGCGATTCCTGGAAAATCCCCAAGTGTCGTTCAAAAGGAACGCCAGATGGAGCAGATCCAACATTGTTATGGTTATGGTGATGTTGAGATGTATAGTTTAAAATTCCATGCTCATCAGTGTTTGGAAGACGATGGTGTCCATTGGACGTAAAAGGATGTCTAACAGGTGGTGTTTTCCAGGCAGAGGAACTGGACTGGTTGGTGTATAGCTTAGGACTTCCCCAAAGAAATTGTGGTCCAGACAATGTCTCAACACTTGGTCTATTTGAACTGGAAGAGACAAAAGAGTGCACGTTTCCAGAATAAAGACTTGATTTTTGCTCAGGAAATGAATGAGACTGTTCAAAGACACCTCTTTGGCTAGAATATCTATTTGTCAATAAATGCTCTAAATGACTACCCCTTGAATATTCATCGCCAATGGATGCCAACTTTGAAGAATTCGACAGTTGTGAAATTGCAGCTAATCCAGGAAAACCCTTTCCTACTGGACTCATTGAGCTGCATTCCATTGGGCTGCCAAACACTGGCCAATCACCTGCCAGAAATCTGAGAAAATTAATTAAAAGAAAAAAATTCTCCAGCACCACGCTAATAATAATGAAATCCCTATGACATACCGGGGGGAGAATTCCTAATTTGTGAGCCCATTTGGTGGCGTAAACTTCGCGACTCGTCTTGTTCAAGATCTTGATTCAGCTGGAATATCAGACTAAGGTACAAGACACTTGCAACATTAGATTAGAAGTACCAGTCATAAATCATTAACATCTCTATTAATCAACTACTATTAAGGGATATGAAGTTAGGATCTCGACAACCAAAAAATCAAATGACTACCAAAGAGCAGATGATGATAGTGAAAAAAGTATAGTTTATAGATGGCAATTTGTAAATGTGATCCATTTGCAACAAAGAAGAAGAAAAGAGGAGAATCAATCACTTGCAAGCTGATCTCATAACTGTAAAAGATATTTAAGCATCTAAATGTTGCCCATTTGGGTCATCAAGTTAAAGTGACATCATCACTCACATGGCATTCATTTAAGATAAATTCTTTAAACGGCAATGCTTATAATAGAGTTTCAGCATTTCGGTTGGTTTAAATGCTCTATCCTCCAATATTATCAATGTTTTTTTTCCTTCCTAGCGCTTCAACTTTCTTTTTTTTCTGTCTTTGAATTTGGTATTTCAAAGTGCATCAGCGTGTACACCTTAATCAAATAGAGTACACTTGAAGTAAAGAAGTAAATGTAAATGCATCAGCAGGTATACCTTCTTCGGGCACCCCCAGGGCGGCTAGGCTCTAGCTTTATTCGTTTCCCAGCTATTTCACTTCTATTTAAGGATCTAAGTGCAGCTTCTGCACATCTGACGTCATAAAACTCAATAAATTTATGATGCCTCTTGTGCGGGGTTTCCCTTATCTGTTTTAAGACAATTGTACCATGTATAACAGATGTCAACCAATCATCGGTCGAAAATAAGGATTATAAAAAATATAAAAGAGGGAAAAAAATTAATTACCTCTTTGACCTCGCCATAAGCACCAAATATTTGGAGGAGGTCATCAGTAGAAACTGATGGATCCAAATTAAACACGACAAGAGTTCCTTGATTAATATCCTTATCTGATGGATTTTCCTAAACAAGGAGGGTAAAGAGTTCAGAAAACGACAATTATAACAACAGTATGAAACTTCGAAGAGGATAAGTCAGAACCTTAGGAATTGAGAAGTGAATGTCCAGTTTTCTCCTTCTGAGTGGCCTATTTTGCAATGCTCGCATAGCAGTTTGAGCAGCACGGATATCGTAATAAGATATCATCACAAACCCTCTATGTTTACATGTTGTGTACAAAGTTCGGATATCACCATATTGCTGACAAGAAAGAAAACAAAAATTTGCATGAGTATGTTAGTAACTCCATCAATTTTAAGGAGAAAAACAAAAGAATATTCCTAAGCCCCTGTTTGTCTGCTTTTAAACAAAACTCTTTAATTCTCATATTCAATTTCAACCACACATACAATAAATTATTTTGCACGTAAATCCTAAACTTTTTCTACTTTTTAACCACACATTCTTTAAAATAAAAAAAAATAAAAAACTATTCAAAACACCATTTTTTCAAAATAATGGCCATCAGACGGGCTAAATCTGATTAACGGTTGGAAGCCTAGAACAGAAAATTTAAATCTTCCATCACAAGAAATGGATCTGCTTGTTTCTATATGTAAAATTCCCATTGTACCTGATTCGGTCTGTTTCAAACCAGTGCTAAGAAAAACATTATCCTTAAAACAAATTTTCAAACTAGTTAACTCATTAGGATGCGCCGAGTCCTCAATGAGAGCTCAAATACAGCACACTCTAGACCAAACATACTAAGGAACCAAGAAACTATAACAAGGGCTGACAAGTTCGAATTACCTCGAAGAGAGATCTAAGCTCTGAATCCTCAACATTACTATTGATGTTTCTGACAAATAATGTTCGGGAAGGATGTTCTCCAAGAGGATGTTCTCCAGCAACAGTTCCTGAGCCATTTGGAAGACCGTAATGGACCACTGCATTGCCAACAACACCATTAGATAAACTCGCTTCTGAGAAAACCACACCCAAGTTTTCCTGTGGATCGGATTCCAATTCTAAACCCCCTCCACTGCCAAAAAGATCATATTCTTCAGAGTTGTCCATGTGATTGGGCAACCCGCCAAGGTCAAAATTGTCCATTATCCCAGCTAGAAGTTCATCCTCATCATCAGGGAGCATGCTTCCAATTGCATAATTTTCAATGTCTTTAAGCAAGTCATTGTACTCAACTTCAGGATGAAGTTTGTTCAAACCAGAAGAGGCGCCCTCGATCGGTTGACGATCACGTTCTGGTACACTCAGGTTCACTGTATGCAACCCAATTCAAGAAAGAAAAAACAAAATAAGTATTTCCTACTATGGAAATCAGGTCCATTAAATTTCAATTACGCAGAGAGCATACACTTCTCGTGGGGAAGAACGGGCAACGAGCTTGAGAAAAGGGAAGCATCACTGGAGGCACGGTAAGTGCCAAATTGGGGAAAGATCTCCCTTATACTAGTTTCCATTTCTTCAGATGGATATTTTGACAGAATCTTCAGAAGACCTATCAGATGACATTTGGTTTGTCAATCAATATTCACGATCTAACTTTCTTGTGGCCAATTACAATATTCTATTGCATGCCACAACCTTTCTTGCAAAACGAGGAGAAATAAAAAGCATGAGAAGTTATTTCTTAAAGCATTACATAAACAAAATGTCAAATAAATAACGGCTAAAACCGAATTTAAGCCCAAGATTAGGTCAAAGGATCTTAGCAAAGGTTATCTCATTAGTGCTTCAGGGGATATAAGACTACAAATTACAGGAGTCCGTAGGCATCACATGGGCAAAATCCAATACCACAACAGTCAAACCGTACAATTTTGAAAGAGGCACAAAACCGGTGATCCCAACTAAATAGGTTCTATAGATAACCAACAAGAAGCATGTGACAACTAGATGTCAACTAGACGACAACTAGATAGACTCTATAGATAACCGACACCGAGAGGTCAACAAGACACAGGTTATCAACCACGTAACACGTTCACTACCACGTGCAAACAAATTCGATCAAGCATTTGATCAATTATCTCAAAGGTAATTTATTGCACTTTAAAAACCAACTCGAGAATACCCCAAATAAATCTTGATTTGTTAAATGCCCATTATTTCAGTTTGTCATGTTCCAGCAGACAAACAAGATTGAACAAACTCAAACATGAATATACCCCATGATCATCACTCAATACCATCAAAAATAAATTCAAATAATCCAGCATTAAAAAAATCTGCATATCATAAAATCAGGGCATAACAAGAGCAGAACTTCATAAAACAACCACCACCCCAGGCCCATCGTAAACAAAGGTCACTGGTTTGATATTAATTAAGCAAGATCATGCCTCAGAAACAAAACTTTCACAACAAAAGTAGACAACATTTGTTAGAAAGACCGAAATTCAACGTATTTANTGTTAGAAAGACCGAAATTCAACGTATTTATAACCAATTTGCCATTAATTCCGACAACCCACTCTCGCGAGCATAAAATGCATATCTTTATACGCGCGCAAACACATACATAGCAGAGAAATGGAGAGGAAGTACCTCGATAATACTAAAATTCATTAAAACCTCACGAGAGTTCCCTCGAGAACACCAAAATCGCTATAATTCTACAAGAAACCCCAGAAGTTTGAATCTTTCGTTACAGAAAATGATATAAAAAGTGCCAATAAACAAAATGGAAAAAGCAACAGAAAGGATTATTTGTTCCTCTTTCGTTCGCCTAAAGCAACAGAAAGGATTATTTGTTCCTCTTTCGTTTGCCTTTCCTTCACTAACTCGATTACTACACAAATGCATATAAATTGTGACGGAGAGGGATGGAGAATGTGACAAAAATGTGATTGAAGTCCAAAGAAAATGCCAAAAAGGTAGAAAAGAGCGGACAAAAAATGATGATGAAAAGAGAGGGGAGTTAATAAAAGAGTGGGGCTTTAAATTCAATTGAATTTAACTGGGATTTGGCGTCCACGTGCATTCCCACGGAAAATATTTTCAAGAATTGTTTAATTTTTTTGCTTTAGGGTCGTTTGATTGAAATTGTGGAAAATAGATGGAAATAAAATGAATTTCAGGAAAAGTAATTATCTAAAAATTATTTTGTAGGAAATTGGAAATTAAGTGTGTTTGATTGGTATAAATTTCCACCTGAAAAATTTTATAATTTTGTGTTCGTTTGGCATTGTTTTATATGGAAATTGTCCATTAAAATGATAATTTTTTGTACAATTGGTTAAAAAATTTGTTTCCGTTGCCAAAAAATAAAAAAAATGAAAAAAAATATTTCCTGAAAAATCATTTTTTATCAAAGTTTAGTGTTCGTTTGGTTTTATTTTACATGAAAATTGTCCATTAAAGTGAAAAAAAAATTTACAATTGGTTATAAAATTTGTTTCTATTGCAACCAAAAAAAAACAACAGCAGCACCTGGAAAACCATTTCGAAATGGTAGGAAAAGGTTTTCACCAATTTAAGGGAAAAAGTGCACGTGGGGGGAGGGTGGAAAATATTTGACGTGGAAAAAAATGCTATCAAACACCAAAAAACATGGAAAATGGAAAACCAATTCCATTTTCCATGGAAAAACAACCCTATCAAACACACCCTTAGAAATTTGACCTATAATACTCCATCAGCGATAAATTTATTTTCACATAAATCAAAAAAATATAATTAATATAAATATAAGCCAACCTCATTTTTAGGTTAAAATAAATTTTGTAATAGTGATTTTTTAAAATATGTAGCTAAAAAGCAAAGAAAATTTCTGAATTTACGTACAAATTATTTTATTTATAAAGTGTGCGGTTTAAAATGAATATGAAAAAAATGAATGATTGGATAATGGGGATCAAATGGGGGCTAAATTTTTCTTATATTTTTCGAAATACACCCTATGATATATATAATGATTTAAATTCATATTTATTGATAACGAACACATTAAATATAGGTATATTAGAAAATTAAAGAAATCAACTATACATTCCATTAGGAAAGTGAACCGTAATGGTGGTGTTGACGGTGGTGATGAGGTGGCTTGACGTTCGATTGATGTTGGTGGTGGGACTGAGGTAGGGATGAAATGAAGAGTATTTGTGACAGACTATTTAATTAATTTGTGACTAATAAATAATATGCGTGATAAAATGAATAACTTACTAATTAATAATATATGACCTAAAAATGTGAAATTACAAATAAGGAGGGCGTATTCAGTTGAGATTTTTAAAAACTTTATGAAATTTAAAAAATGTATGGGAATTCAATATAAACATTTTGAAACTAAAAAAGGTATATTCAGTCGGGATAGTTTATTCAATTAAAATTTTTTAAAAATCTTTATAAATATTTGGGTATTCAAATTGTTAATGACTTTTGAAAATTTTTTCAGAAGTCCATAGGGTATTAACTTTTAAGCATAAAGTACTAAAATAAAATTTCAAAATTTGTCTGTAATTCATCCCAAGATTTTGGGAGATTTTCAAAAAAAAAATAAAATTTGAATTTATTATTTCTTTCAATATTTCTTTTTCTTTTTTCTTCTACGAACATTAAAGTCATGATTAAATTTTTTTTTCCACTGATTATATTTGTTTCTATTTTCCTTTTATTTTCTCTCTTTTATTTTTAATCTCTATTTTCTATTTAAAAAATTAAATTATAACTAAAGATTCTTATAACATTTTTTCGTCATTTTTTATGAAAAATATCTACTTGTAATTAAAAATTATAAGATTTTATAGAAACAAAAAAAAAGACTAAATTATAATAATTTAAATATAATGATTTATTGTTTACTCTCTAAAGGTAAATCATATTGATAATACTGAATTTTTTTTTTTTAAGAAAGAATAGTGAAATATATATTATTTTGATTATTATTTTTTTAATTAAGGTGATTTAGATTTTTATTCTTTTAAAAATATTTTTTATTATATGGGGAAGTGAAAGGACAATGTGGGAATCAACAACTCGTATATAGAATTTTCAACTATTGTTCTAAACATACATGAATTCTATTTTAAATAAATGTCATCAAAAGTCTTTCGAACTCTACAAAAGTCTATAAAAATTCAATCTATAATATATTAAATATCGCATCAAGTGAGAATTATTTTCTGGACGATTTTAGTCCTACTATAATTTAATTATTTCAATAATATCTTACTTTTTGTTTTTCAATATATATTTGATTGAATATTAATTATTAAACCTACACGCAAGTAAATAATTGAATTGTATGAGAACAATTAAATTGATTCAGGAACATGGAATTTAATTAATTTGAATAAATGAATATAGAAAAAGAATAATATATATACATTTAAACAAATTAGGTGTAAGTGAACCAACATGAAAATTAATTAATTTGAATTAATATATATAGAAAAATAATAATTTATATACATTTAAACAAATTGGGTGTACATGAACCAACATATTAAATATCGCATCAAGTGAGAATAATTTTCTAAACGATTTTAACCCTACTATAATTTAATTATTTCAATAATACATTACTCTTCGTTTTTCAATATATATTTAATTGAATATTAATTATTAAACATGCATGAAAATAAATAATTGAATTGTATGA